CTCGTCCACACGTAAACGCAAAAACAGAGTTTTCAAAAATCTCCACCCTGGCCGGAGTTTTTAAAAATCTCCGTTTTCAGTGACCAAAAACGCCGTTTACGTGTGGACGAAAGGTGCAAACGCATAGAAAAATCTGCGTTTTCAAAAATACCCGGGTACGTGTGGACATAGCCTTAAATAAGGACAAAAGGACTTGTATGGTTAGGCTAGGCCAGGAGTGTCAAACTCCAGTCCCCGAGGGCCGGTGTCCTGAAACTTTTACGTGTGTCCCAGCTGAATAAAATGAGTAGGTCATTAGCAAGACCGACTCATGTTACAGCAGCTCATGAGTGACGAACATTTCTCCAAACACTTACATTTATTTAAATTTACTTGAACAGGGTTAGGGGTTGCCAACTCAGCATGCAGTCAGGTTCTACTGCATCCTCAGCACTTTTAAAACAATATTACAAACCATTGTTAATATTTTAATTTCAGAAAGATTCTTTATTTTTTGTAAATTTGCATATTTTGCCCAGTTATTTTTTTGTGTTACAGTTTCTTCTCAGTGAGCAAGCAGGCCCTCAGGTCAGGCACATACTAACACACATGCACTTAAAGGCTCATATACACTCTGCTATGTTATGCATTAGCACACTTCTGTGTTGACAGATGCGTGGTTTGGCCAAATGTCAGACCAGTCTCTACACATATTGACCCATGTTGACTATCCAACAGACTGTACTACTGCAGTGAGAGAAATCTGTATGGATGATGTGTGTTAGAGAGAGATGCTAGCCATCAGTGTAGTACAACTGTGTTTTTGGTCAATATGTTTTGTTCTTTGTTGTATTAAATGTTGTTCTGCATGCTAGCTTATTTCTAATTGGTTTCATGTACCATCAGGACAGTTTAGTTAGTCAGTGCAGTGGCTGGGACCTGAACAGCAGTGGAGCAGATCCTCCTAACACTGTTCTTTGTCCTCGTGGTGTGGTCATCAGGTACCTCAGGATGAATGGAGCGGCTTCTCTCCTCTAGGGAAGGAAGATGACATCCCCTGTCGGAGGATGAGAAGCGGCAGCTATGTGAAAGCCATGGCTGAGGATGACAGCGGAGATTCTGATGGAAGTCCCAAGCCCTCGCCCAAGATCCAAGCTCGGCGGGCCAGCTACCTGAAAGCCACACAGCCATCACTGACTGAGATGACCACTCTACAGTAAGCCCCTCCATTCCTCATTGGTTTATGGCATCCATCAGTAAGAGTTGCACTTAGTGAAGAACAAGAAATCTTCTAATTTCACCTGAAAATTAAGAACAAATTGTGGTAATGATAAAGCATCTTGCTTCGAAAGCACAGGTGTCAAACTAAAGCTGCTAAAACTTTTAAGTGTGTCCCGGCTGCGACACACCTGAATAAAAATAGTAGGTCATTAGCAAAACTCTACAGGACTTGACTGCATGCTGAGGTGGCAATTCAGCCATTCACTTACAAGTACTTAAATTCTCTTGAGTAGAGTTAGGGGTTGCCCTCGAGGACTGGAGTTTGACACCCCTGGCATAAGGTAAAACAAACAAAGAGACAAAAAATGTTAGGAGTGGGGAGGAGTATTTTTAAGCAGCTTAGGAGTTTCTTAAGTAGAGTTCAGGTTGCACCCCTCAAGGACAGCAGCTTATACCCCAGATGTGTCTATAGTTTGTGATGGTGATTTCCTAGACAATTGTTTCTCTACAAGGGCACACCTGTTCCCATCATTTAATCCAATAAAATGCTTACAAAACTCAAAATACGAAGTGTCTTGATGCATGCTCAACCATCCAAGTAAGGAAATCCACAAAAGTTGGTTCTGTTTATCTGGATGTAGCGTTTTCAGAGAAACGTCTTGTCACTCATCCAAGTGACTTCTTCTCTCAGCTGACTGCAGGTTTCACCAACCTTTTAAACAACATATTTGCATAATGACTGAAACTCGCGCCACTGGCAAACAGCTGTGAAGTGAACGTGGCATGTCTGTTATTGCCAGATGGGCTGGGCTTTCAGAAACTACTGGGATAGGGTTTACAAAGAATGATGCAAAATTGAAACTATCCAGTGAGCACCATGGTTTGCTCATGGCTTGTTCTCCCTCCTGCCATCTGGCCAGAGGTACAGGAGCATCAGCTGCAGAACCACCAGGATGCTGGAAGGGTTCTTTGCACGAGCCATGATTGATAAATGGACTGCACCCCTCCCCACCCACTCAGCTATTCACACAGCTATACTGTAAGGTCCACAAGTGGACTGTGATGCCCTTGTGTACACACACGTGCGCACACACACAACATACATACACGTATACAGTATACTCCCATTGTTGGGAGTATACAAAAAAGTATACAAAAAAGTATATAATACTTATTGGATTAGAATAGAATAAACCTTTATTATCCCACGGATGAGAAAGTTCTCATAATTTCCGTAGCTCTTACAGCTGGGAAGTCACTGGATTACTTAATATATTACCATGCTTTTTACAACTACATGAATGTACTATTGCTGTGTGATTTATTAATATTACTGAAGGCTACTCCCCATATCAACACCAACTAGATTTAAGATTTTTAAATCTTAATATAAAATAAGTAACAGTAGGGTGGACATTTGCACCACTGCACTCTTTGCAGTGATCTCGTATAGAAAACTGTTTCTGCATCAGTAATATGTTTTCTTCGTCTGTTAATAATCATGTGAAACTGCACATGATTATTTGCAGCCAGCGGCTTGTTAATGCTCTCCATCAAAGCCAAAAACAGCACGTTAATATATGACGATCATAAAGGCTCCAAAAGTGATCAGATTATATTTTAAATATTAGTTCAATGCTCTTCCAAACCCCAGCTGTCAATTGTAAGTTTAGAGTGTTTGTTAAAATAAAAATAAAAGTGTTCTAACATCTCACCTGTTTGTTTTTATTCAGGCATACATGTAAACTATTTGTATTAAGAGAGAGATGAAGCTTGTGTTTCTGTCATGTAGTGATTATGCTCAACTGTGTGAAGCTTATTAGACATTATGAAACAGGTGATGACAGTGCTTAAGATACTTTTTGAAATGTTTTTCTTAAAGAAATCTACTACATCATCATTTTGTATTGCAAATAAATTGCATAATATTAGCTTACGGTGACTGGCTTGGAGGGAAAGTTAGGCTGTGATGGTTTGAAAGTATGCTGAGAAGGGATAGTTGATAAAAATGCTGAAAATGGAGCTGCTAGGCAGGAGTCAAAGACAGAGACTACACAGATTCACGGATGCAGTGAAGGAGGACATGCGGAGGGTTGGTTTGACAGAAGAGGATGTTAGGGATGGGTGAGATGGAGGCAGATCATCTGCCAAAGCCACGTCTAAAGGGAGTGGCATGATGGTGGTTTAGACCAGCGGTCTCCAACCTTTTTTGCGCCACGGACCGGTTTATGCCCGACAATATTTTCATGGACCGGCCTTTAAGGTGT